CTCGATATCTCGATTACTCGATATCTCAATTACTCGATATCTCGATTACTCGATATCTCAATTGCTCGATATCTTAATTGCTCGATATCTCGATTACTCGATATCTCCATTACTTTTTTACCAAATGAGAAATTTCAACAAATAGTTTTACTCCAAAACAAATTTTTATTTCATTAAACTTTTAAATTAAAGTTTCTATTTTTGCAAAAAGTGTGTAGGAACCTAATGGACAACCACTTAATAGGAATCGTATATGAAAATACATTTGTACAACAGATTTATTTAATTTAGCTATGAAACTAGACATTTTAGCAGCTATAAGCTGAGAGGATGTTTCTGATAATATGTTGTCACCAGAGATTAAAAATGAACATGTATTCTGACAGCTAGAAAGAAATTTAGAGAACTCAAATTTTTGCAAAAAATTTATGAATAATAATAATAAATTATAAACTAACTAAATTAGTCAATAATAAATTAGAAATTTATTATTGTAAGCAATTATAAATTATGCTTTGAAAGCACTATGCAAGTGGTATTATAAGTGATGTAGACATCGATTTTGGGGTCTGTCCATGATTAATAAAAAAGTTTCTGACCCATTTTATTTGTGCTTCACAACTCACATTTTTTAAATGTTCAGCAGATATTTCGAAGACGTTCTTGGATTTGTTTAATTTAAGGCAAGAACATCGAGTGGACACGGAAAAATCCGGTCAACTTTAATTTTAGATTTTTCTAATAAAAACAATAAATGCTTTTTATTTATTTATTTTTTTGTTAAATGTCTTTACATCAATTAGAGTTTCAATTTAATTTTAAGAGGCTTCATAGGGTGTTTGGCAAAAAATCAAACTTTATAGCGGATTGATGGCATCATTTCGCAGATTTTTTCTTTTTTCATCGTATTGGTGGCATTAATCCACTTTTTTTTGGAAATCCTTTTTATTTTTGTTATTCCACCTGTCTTACGAAGAACTCCTTTAACTATTGCCCAAAATTCTTTAATCTTGCGCTATTCAGGACGATTTGGAGGATTCGCATCATTAGAATCAATTTTCACATTGTTATCTTTGCACCACTGTAGAACTTTTTTAGAATAGTGGGAAACAGCAAGATATGGCTAAAAGAGACATAAGTGTTTGTGTTTTTTCATAAATGGCAAAAGATTTTTTGGATGCATTCTTTGATGTAGAGATTGACATTCAAGGTCTTCTTAGTGACACAACAAGAGGGCTACATATTGCATGCCACACAAGAAACTTGGATGCAAATTTTTCTCGTCAAATATATTCAAATTGATCATCGACAGGTTTATCTTTGTTCTCATAGTAAAATTGTTGACCAGAAAGTTGTGAAAAATCCGCCTTGCGTATAATTGAAGACGACAAAACGTCTTCAATTATACGCATACTTTTATCCACCATTGTTTTAACGAACTTCTTTGCGCGTTGAATTCCTTTATTTTCACCATTTAAGCTTCTCTTAGATGTATTTTTCTTATGAAATGCTTTAACTCCAGCATTTTTAAGTACTTTTTGATATAGGAATGCAAAATCTTGAAATTTTGTGCTGGATCTCGCTGTGACTGGTTTGTGTAATTGAATTTAAAATTCACATTATCTTTTTGGATTAATGGAAAAGTTTTTTCCTTCCACTTCCAGGTTTTCTTTCGAAGGTAGTAGCCGTCTTGAACTTTTTTATAATATCTTGATGACTGTAGATTTTGGGAAATTTGTACGTTTAGCAATAAAGCAATATGAAATCGATGGATTTTTGCTAAAAAAATCAAAACTTTTTTAAGCACATCAATTTGTTTTCGAAACATTTTGCAAATCATTGATTAGTAAACAAAAGTTTATCAACACAATTAAAGATAAGGAAGTAACGCCTAATTAAAAAAATAAAAGTAATAAAAAGCATTTGCGGTATTGGAGAAATCTCATTTTAAACTTGACCGGATTTTTCCTTGTCCACCCAATAACCGTTTTTATATTTTCATCCGATATTATTATCTCGTCGAACTTTGCGCAAGGTGGAAATTTTAAATCTGTAGAGGCATATAAGATTGTTTTAGAGTTTAATCATTTTTCAAATGCAAATGCAAATTCTTTATTGTTGGGCAGAATGTCCACATTTTTTGTTGAAATAATTATCTTCACAATTTCTTTGTAAAGTTAATTTTCACCTAATGTGATTGAAAGTATTTAAATATCTTCTAAACATAAACATGTTTTGTATCTTTTACGGATTCTTTTCAACAGGATTTGTAAGGTCTAGAGTTATGTTTCCCTCAATAAATTTATCTGCACAAAACGATTTCAGCAAATTGTCGTTCTCGAAATTTTCGAATTGAGTTTTCTGATATTGAGTTCATGTTTGCAATAAATAAGTCTTTTGGATGAGAACAAATTTCCTCAATATATTTCAAAAGTATAAGTTAAGACACAATGTATAAATGTCACACTTTAAATAGATAAACATTCAATTTTTATTTATAAATAACCATATTAAAAAAAAACTTTGTTTATTATTTCATTATCAGTTTTCTTTTCTCTATAAAGAAACAATTTTTGCTTTTTTGCGCATGTTTGCGTCAACATCGTCATTGCTGATGTTGGCTATATTCTAAAACCTGATCAATGAAAGATTTCCCTTTCCCTCAAAAAATTAGAACACTCAAGTGAGGTGAAGCAAAAATTTTATATTAACACTTCAGCCTTATGATTTAAGAAATACATCTATTTCGTTATCAAACATTATCTGTGTTTTCAGTTGTTCGTAATCCTTTAACAGTTGAAATACAAAAGGATATTTAATGTTTGGCGATTGTGTTTTACTTCCAAGTTCTTCATCCATCACCAAACGGATTCTATCTAATACATGGTTTTTGCGACTTATAAGGTTTATTGATACAATTCTCTGTAAACATTCCTTGCAATATTACAACAACACCTTTTTCCAGTGCCAACGCTGGTGGTATCTGCAATAATCCTCTGTATTGAATTTAATAAATCCTTAAACAATAGGCAAAATCCTGTTATCTACCTAGCCAAGGACATCCAATTTGATTTTCTTCTTTCATTTTTAAGGACGGCCACTTGTAAACCCATTATGTCAATGTGTTTGCCATCAAAGTGTAATTTCCAACTTTCCAAATGCAACTTTTCAATCATTTTTTCTTTTAGCTTGATTGCCTTATTGATTGTTGACTTGTAAATAGCTGATTGACATTGAGTGGGGATTTCAATTCCCTCACGTGCTAATTGCTTGGATACATTAGCAGCTTTGTTTGTTGATACTCTTGTGGAAATCACCAAGTTAACTGCAGTTTTGCTTTTATGATGTTTTCTGGTTGAAATAGGAGTTGTATCATCTTCTTCTTCATTGTTTTTATATTCACTGTTGTCAGCTTCAGAGTCAGAACCACTAAAAGCAGGATAGTAAGATCATGAGTTGGATGACTCAAAAGAATGTTTTTGTCTTTTAGAGGGATGGATCGTTTCTTTAATAGCCCCTTGGTCTGTAGAATATCCCACTGTCCATTTGCTTTCTGCTTGGAGACGGTACAATCGCTTGCTCTTTGAAGATAACAATGTTCTTTCCACTTTAGTTATATCAAAAACTTCATCAAGAGGTTCGTAGTTTCTCCGCTTGACACATTCATCATAATATTTCAGTATTTTATCAAACTTTGTTTGTATAACTTGATCAGATACATGAGGAAAACTAATTTTTTTTGAAAATTTTAGCTATTCGTTTCTATTTTCTTTGGTTTTTGGTCAGAGAATAAATAGCGTCGGATAACTTGCTTTTGGAGAGGGATTCTGTATTTTTTTCTCCAGTGAATATTCTTTCAAAGGGACCAATCCTCTTCTTTTATGAGAATTTTCAAATTTTACCAGATTTTTGGTCCAGACATCCTGTTCTTCTGAATGCCTTTATCGCTAGGTTTGTACAACCCCATGTGTTGCTTCTGTAATAACTATAAAATTAGATGAGCAGCTACATATAGTCCAAAACGTTATCAAATATTCCAAAATGTTCTAAAATATTTTAGAATGTTCTAAAATATTTTAGAATGTTCTAAAATATTTTAGAATGTTCTAAAATATTTTAGAATGTTCTAAAATATTTTAGAATGTTCTAAAATATTTTAGAATGTTCTAAAATATTTTAGAATGTTCTAAAATATTTTAGAATGTTCTAAAATATTTTAGAATGTTCTAAAATATTTTAGAATGTTCTAAAATATTTTAGAATGTTCTAAAATATTTTAGAATGTTCTAAAATATTTTAGAATGTTCAAAAATATTTTAAACTGTTCTAGAATACTTTAAATTGTTCTAAAATATTTTTGAATGTTCTAAAATATTTTAGAACATTCTGGAATATTCGATAACGTTTTGGACTATATGTAGCTGCTCATCTAATTTTATAGTTATTACAGAAGCAACACATGGGGTTCTAAAGTTTTCTAAAAACACTTTCAATTTATACAAGTTTTAGATGATATGCAGGAAAGTCACACGCGTTTGTAGTAGCAGTAACAAAATTAAATAAATGACGAAACTTAATTTGAATTACGGGTTGAACTTTTTTACAATCGAGAAGAATTAATCATAATCATTTTCTCATAAAGAAATAATCATTTTCTCATAAAGTTTATCAATTTATGACACAGAAAATAATTTTTTTTTTAAACGTCAAAAAGTTATAACCTTAATATATAACAGCATTATAAAATAGCATAATAACAGCATAGTAAAAACAGATATTGAAAAAACTAAGTGTTTTTACTAATTTTAACAACATAATAAAGTTTTATGATTATTGTCTTTTTAAGTTAAATTATTTTTCTTTTAACAATATTTTCTTGTTAATAATCGTTGTGTATAATATATAATAACACGAAAATTTAAAGATGTTTTAAAATCCTGTTACAGATAAAATGAAAAGTAATATAAAATGAAAAGTGAAAACAGTTTAAGAAAACCTACATAGAATTTTCCATAGAAAAGTTCCACGATAAGATAAAAGAGACCTTCCAAACTTTGTATTCAAATAACGATGATTTTTAAAATTGTCATTTCTTAGATCACATTTGCTAAAAACAAAGTAATAAACGTTAAAAACATTAAGTTGGTATATATAAAAAAAATATTGATTTCGAATAAAAGTGATTTTGCATGAGGGAAACCATCTTTTCAATTTATAAGTTGTCCTAAATGCTTCTGCAACCGATAAAGAGGATGAAATAGAGCCCACAATTCAAAAAACGTCTCTTAAATAGTTCTTTTTATGTTAGTTTATAACTTGACTAGAACTCTTTTGAAATTGTTCATTAAATAGTGCTTGTCATTAAATAGTGCTATGATACTTTCTAGATAGAAAAATGTTTGTATAATCAGCAAAGATTACTATTTTTATAATTCAGGGATTATAAATACCATTATTATAAATGAGAAAAATATTATGTGATTCGAGCTGACAAAAGCTTATCGTATCATTTGTTGTATTATGTACAGTTAAATCACAATGTATAAAAAATTTCATCTAAGTATAAACGTATAAAGTTTATACGTTTAAAATGAACAACCTTTTATTTTTTATCTTATTAAATATGATACCACTTAAAATGAAAAAAAACTAAAATTGATGACAGCAACTATGTATAAGTAACATTTATTAAGAAACAGAAGAGGAGTTTAGAAATAAAAGAGAATACTTAAGTAATAAAATAGAACTTGAGGTATTTGGCATTGTCAAACTTGGTTTTGGAAAACCTAATTTTCTTTGGTAAATTTATTTAAACTTTTTGAGTTCAATAATATTAGCCTAAATAACTTATAATAATTGCCCTAATAATAATATATAACATTCTAGTATTTAATTAAATAAAAGGTTATTAACACATTTCAGTACTATGCGCTTAAGCAAAAGTATCTTTAATGTCAATCAGCAACAGAGGCGTATAGCACCTCTAACAAACTTTAAAGATCGTTATACTAATGCCAGACCTCTTTTATTGGAAATGAATGTTCTAAATATACACCAGAAAAATGTCGTTAATGTTCTTTTGTTTATGTTAAAATGTAAGATAAACCTAACCCCTATATCCTTTAAAAATATACACGCAATAAAACAAAAAAATAAATATGACTTAAGAAATGATAATCCTATTCTTCAACATTTCTCATATTCTCATACAAGTTTTGGAAGATCTTTTTTAACATATGGCAGAGCTCTACTGTGGAACAAAATAGTTTTGAAAAGTTTTAATTTTTCTTAAAGTATGAGTTTCCTTACTTTTAAAATTAAGCTGAAAAGAGTTTTTTAATTGATAATATCTTAAAGTTCTTTTAAGTTTTTACCTTTTAAAATAGTGTGTGATTCCTGTATATACTGTTTTATTTTGAAATATTTACTTTTATCTATATTCTTTATGTTTTAAAATAAATGGTTAAATTTAAATTTTATTTCTAAACGTGAATTATTGTAATTATTTAACTGGTTATATTTTTACTGCATTGTTAAATGTTTCTCAGTGACAGGATCTTACGAACCTCTTCGAGTCTCCGTGTTCTTATGTTTAATGTAAGACGATATTTATACCATAATATATTTTAACAAGAACACAAAAAAAATATGTTTTGTTATATATGAAGAATAATAATATATTTAAGTTATAAACTGTATACAGTAAAAGCAAAACTGAATTTATGCGTTGCTGACTTAATTAAAGTATAAAAATATTTGATTATACTAATTTTAATACTTGTTGTTAATTAAAACTTAAATTATATTCAAAACGATATAGTTTTTATTTTTAATAAAAAGTAACAAGATATAAAAAAATACTGAACTTTATAAAACTTATATTAAAAAATGAAATTACTTGTTGCATTGAACTTACTTTTAAACGCGTTTGGAAACAAAGTTAAAAATCGCAATGGCGGTTATTTCCCTTATTTTGATTTGTTTAAATATTATTGATTTTTGATGACGGAAATACAGGGTGACCAAACATGGATTAACTTTGTTAATTTTGCGCCAATTTAAATTTTTGTACTAAAATATTTTTTGTTGACAGATTGACAGCTGTTAAGTATAAACAATCTGGATATATAAAATAAAGAATTTTACAAATGCGCAACGCGTCTTCATTGTTAAAGTTTATCTGTAAAATTAAAAAATAAGTAAAAGTTTTATTGAAAAATAATGTTTATGCTAATAATCCTCAAACTATTCAACGTTTGAATTTGAACATAAACAAAAAATCATGTAGTGCTAAAAAGCTTAGCAAGTTTAAGTTTAAACATTCTGTGTTTAGATGATTTTAATTATGTATTTTTTATTCTCAATGAAATAATATTGCAAGTTCGAGGCTACCCAGATTGTCAAAATGATGAAACGAAACAAATTGAGAGTTTAAAGAGAGTGCTATTTTTACTCAGTTTGAAGATCAAATGCTCAGGGTTAGGGTCAGGGTCAGGGTTAGAGTTACCTTCTTCATAAAAATAGTGCACTTTTAAAAGTAATACTGCGGAAAAAAGCACACAAAGTAAAAGTAATAGTTTATTTGATATAAACTTAGGAGCGAATATTGCTTTTTGCGAGATTGATTAAGGCATTAACCAATGAGTCGTTTCGCTTATATTACAAATATGAATTGAATGAATGTAAATACTTTTTAACATAAGCATAAATTGATTAACGCTGCTTATGATTCTGCTGCTAAAGATTGTATAAAGTTTGATGAAAATGAAATTAAAGTAAATTCTGTTATCACAATCCAACTTTCTCTTGATTGTACTAGGCAGAAACGAGGACATTCTTCTCCTAACGGTGTAGTTAATGCTATAAGTAGCGGTTAATGTGTTAATGGTTGCAGAATAGGTTGTAAGGATTAATCTTAGTAGAGGTTGATGTGTTGATGCAGATGTATTAAGCAGGTATTGCAGAAGGTATGCCCCTTACAAATTTTAAAAAACAAATCAAATTTGTTTTTTAAAGCACAAAAATTTTTAAGGGGCATAGAAATGGTGCACTTAATATTTTTCAAGGTTCATCGGAATTGTATGGAATACAATTAATTAAATCAAAAAAGTTAAAGTAGATTGGACACATTCAGAAAAGAATTGGAACCCGCCTATGTAATTTAATATATATATACATATATATATATATATATATATATATATATATATATATATATATATATATATATATATATATATATATATATATATATATATATATATATATATATATATATATATATATATATATATATATATATATATATATATATATATATATATATATATATATATATATAGATATATGTATATGAATATATATATATGTATATATATATATATAATATATATATATATATATATATATATATATATATATATATATATATATATATGAATATATATATATATATGTATATATATATATATATATATATATATATATATATATATATATATATATATATATATATATATGAATATATATATATGTATATATATATATATATATATATATATATATATATATATATATATTCATATATATATATATATATATATATATATATATATATATATATATATATATATATATATATATATATATATATATATATATACATATATATATATATATTCATATATATATATATATATATATTTGCCGTTAGTTAAAATCACAAAATAAAATAACAATTAAATGAAAAAACTGGCAGTTCCAAGAAGACAAATTGTCTTATCGCAAAGCCCCCGTTGCACTTGTGTTTTTTAAACGTTCTAAAAATTTACATGCAAAATAAATAATCAATACAATAGTATATACACAAAAAAACATTTAAAAAAAAAACTTTGAAAATAAAATAAAAAATTTTAACAGCAATATTTCAACGGAATAATTGAAATAATAAAATGAAACATATTGAAGTAAAGAGAAACATGGAGAGCTCAATTTAAATTAAAAAAAACAATCTGACAGATAGGGCAATGAACATAATCCAAAACTATGTTACAACAACAATTTGCTAAACTACTAAAAAAAGGCAAATTATATGATACACAAAAGATATATCAAATGAAAAACGAACTTTAGAACAATACTTTTTCACTGTACACATTTCAACCGTCAATCGCAACGCCATGTTTTATGTCTTGTATGACCTAAAAGTTGGTGTAAGTGGAAAAAGTTAGAAGGTGACCTGGGAAATGAGAAATATAAACCAAAAGATAATCTACCTGTATGGCTTCATGTTATCATAAAAAAAGGTTTTAATGATTTAAGTGATGACCAGTTATTGAAAAAGTGTGTTCATGGAAAAACACAAAACTGCAATCAAGGCATTGTCAATAATGTAATTGGTCTAAGTGTCCCAAAATAATGTTTGTAAAAAAAGGGACCCTAGAAATTGGAGTGAATTTAACTATATTTACTTTTATAGAAGAGACATCTGGTCTAAATTGTGTTTTTATGTATCTAAATATACCACACAGTGGTATGACTGGTACCGGTTCATTGAAAAAGAACAAGCGTCGAATTATTAATATGGAGAGAAAATAAAAATCTTTTAACTTCTTATAGGCCCGAGTTGCTTATTGTCAATATACCAAAAAATAGTTTAAAATCTTAATTAAAAATTTTTTTTATTTTAGAAGGATATAAATCAAAATTTACTTACACTAAAGGCCATACTTAAATTCCTTAGCTTTATTAGTTTTTCAATTTTTACTTTCATTTTATCTCTTTGCAGCTTAATGTTTAATAACACATTTATTTTGATTATATGCATTTTTTTTATTAGCTTTGCATCAAACAGGTTTTTGAATTTGATTTAAACCATCGTTGCTTTAAAGCAACATTGCGCATATATGCTTAAAAAGTCAAAACGCAACTTTTTGTTAGAAAACACGTTTTGTTGTTAATTATATTAAGTTTGACTAATAAACAGCATTCTTGTTGGTTTAACTTTATATTTAGTTATATAGATACTTTTAAATTTTATGCTCAAAAATCAAATGCAGTTCCGCCAAGACCAATCTTAAATTCTACAGTGTTAGAGGAAAGTGATTTATCATCCAAAAGTGATTAATTAGTTGTAGTTAATGATTATACTGTAGATTATCAACTTACTGATTTGGAACTAGAAATAGTATTGGATACTGATTCGGAACTAGAAATAAGTTTGAATATTTTATTTTGAAACACTAGTTAACAACTTTTTCCCATAGCAGGCACTGCTCTAATTTAAAAAACGAGTGTTACATTTTTTTTTTTTAAGTTGATTAAGGTGCCCCAAGAAGTCCTTACGGTCCTATCACAGAGCACCGCGGAAGAGCATTTAATGGGAAGTTCACGCCTCCTTCCCAACCGATGTCGCAAAACTTGCCAAGAGGTGGGGTTTGAACCACGGGTCTTACGTTTCTGAGGCAAGTGCGCTACCACTGCGCCCCGGCTGCTCTGCTCACATTAACACCAAAAATATCTAAACCGTTGGAATAGAAAATAAAAGAGCTGTGTTATATTTCTGTCAAAAATATACCTTTCACTAGGATTCCATTTCTTGAGATAATGCGAATGCGACAGCCAATAGAATATTTTCGAGATATAACAAGATACGATATTATCATGCGTATCAATGAAAAAAGTAATTTACACGCAGTCCAATATGACTCCAGCGAACCAATTAATCTTTCATTAGTAGAGTTGTAAAAATTTATTGGTATACTTTCTTTAACTTCTATTGTAAAAATGCTTGGTACACGCGATTATTAGAATACATTTCTTCGTTATCAACGTACAGCTAATGTTATGAACATTCGACGGTTTGAACGTATAAAGAAATTTTTGCATTGCAATAATAGTTTGAATATGCCAGAAAACTGTCTAGACAAAATTTTAAAAACCCGTCCTTTAATAGATGGTTTGAGAGAGCACTTAAACTTATTTGCTCTAACTGAAAACTTTATTACGCTTTAACTTATTTGCACCAACTATACATTGATGAACAAGTTGTACCTTTTAAAGGGAAATCTAGACTAAAGCAATATAATCCTAAAAGGCCTAAAAATGGGGAGACAAGCTTTATATCCTTACAAATCTAGGGGATCTTATTTACAATTTTGAAACCATTACAGGCTCTATTACTGATGCAACCTGATTAGTTAATCATTTACAATTACAATTTTGTTAAGTTACAATTTTGTTGAGTTAAAACTTTGAAATCTATACATTATTGAATGCAATTGGGTCAACTTGATCTTCTAGCCTCAGGAAATATTGTAAAGTAATTTCTACAAAATATTCCAAGAAACAACGGGCATAAAATGTTTATAGATAGCTGGTATATAAGTGTTACATTAGTAACTACATTATTAAACCAATGAATCGCTTTAGTTGGGATGTTCGCCAAAACAGGGTTACTAAATGCAAATTGTCAACTGACAAAGAGAGAAAGAGACTCAGTTAAAGTTAAAACTTGCCAAATTAATTTGATTGGATGAGCTTTGTGAAATTAAATGGTTTAAGGTTTTGGTTGGTTTTCCCTCCGCAATTGTCACCTAAAACAAATGCATGAGAGGTGTCAATCTCTTAGATGGATTATTGAGCTACTATCGCATTCCTGTTTGTTTAAAAATTGATATAATCCGTTAATCTGGCATTTTCTTGATGTTTCTATTGTCCAATCATTGATATTATATAAAAAAACGATTTAGCAAACAATAAAAAAATAATGTCGTTAAAATCTTTGAAATCGTCATTTGGTGAATCATTGATTATGCAAAGAAAAAAGTTAATCAGAAAAAGACGACTTTCAACATCAGTTGAACTGATTTATAATGATCAGAAGATGAAAAGTGGTCCTGTAGCGCCAGTTTCAAACAAACTCACTAGAAAAGATGGTCATGATCATTGGCCAGAGTATACAGATAAAAATGGGGACGTAGATATTCTGGTTGTAATG